ATGATAATGCAACGAATCAAGCTAAAATTTTCGACACTTCTTGCACTTTTGTTGTTTAATGTTCCGTATCAATTTCATAAGCACAGCCTACTTAGTAATGATTTTATTGCATCAATCCACGAACTTTTGATAACCCCTTCTATTAACATGCATACTCTTCAAAATCAAAATATATACGCCATAGCTCAGTAATATTATGTTACTTAACCTTAATTTGAGGACATGCACCAGGCAGTGTTAAATCTAGACCCTTAAAAGGGCATGGTGATCCAAGCTTTACGCTGTGACGTTTTCATGAGGACATTTTTTTAAAGTCTTGGACATTATACATATTTACTTTACGTACTATAATTATCATTTAATGCTGAAATCTTTATTTGTATAAGTAATTAAGTAGTGATTTGCTTCACTGAATTCATACCTTGGCGTGCATTATATAAACAAAGGGGTTAATCAGCATGCACTAAAAAAACAGAACAGCTAGTCAATCTTACAACTGCTGTTCATATTTTCTTAATTTTTAGTTAGAAAACGGGTCATGGCGCTGAAAAAAGGGCATGACGCCTAGAAAAAGGGCATGGCGACATGCTAGTTTACCTTAGATTTAGCCTCCTGTCATGAGCTCTAAGTGATTTTCTCATTTTTATTTACAAAATTTCAGCTACATTGAACAACCTGCACCAAAAATGCAATCTATGTGACTAATATCTGTTTCACGTCTTCCTTAATATGACTAAGTCCCTGCCAAATATGAATGATGGATTGTATGCTGTTTTTCGTCCCGTTCGAGAATATCTAGATCTAGAGATATATAGAGATGTCACCATGTACCGGTGAAGGACTTCAAATTTAGACCTTTACGAGGCACTCAGGGTCATTGAGCAGTGAGGGTTCTTTATCGTGCCAACGCCTACCGTTTCGGGTTCTCGGTTTTTAAGGTCTCATCCGAAGGATCCGAACTTTCACTTAAAATTGCCAAGCGCCTGGAGAAAGAACAGTTGCTACCTATTTTTTTTTAATTGAATTTGGTCAGTCGCGGCCGTAATTCGAACACACAACCTTCCGATGACAGAGAGAGAACTCTACCGACTTGCTCATTAATGGTCATATCTTTAATTAAAAAAAATCGTCAAAAATGATACTAAAATGTCAGAAGCGCTATACTTTTATGTGACAATTTGAAAATCCCTATTTTTTGAAGATTTGTTAATTGAATATTAATGGTTCATACTGGAAATAAAGACTTATATGATAAAATTCAAAATAATTAGTTTGTAGTAAAGCTTTCGGTCATTGCTTGAGCTGGAAAAAAAAACATGTCAGGAGTTCAACAGGAAAAAAATATAATGGTGTCAAAAGTTGTTTTTAAAGAACTGAATGATAATTGAGGGGAAGTTTATAAAGTTGTCATTTTCAAGATTTATACATTTTCTGATTTAATTACAAGCAGAATTTCATAAAGGATTAACTGAATAAGATTCTTGATATTTTTAACAAGTTTCACCCACACCCAGGTAAAACGCATTCAGAGTAATATTGGACTTTAATGATAAGATGTATTTAGAGCTTCTGGCCTAAAAATAAGTCTTCAATTTATTTAACACATTATTAAATTTCTTTAAACATTTTCGAAAACTCTTACCAATCTGCACATTTATTAAACAAATTGGTCTTTTTCCTTCTATAATTTTCCTTTTTTTATACTTAAACTGTGATAATAATACAGAAATAATTGTGCATTTTTTGCATGCGGTATGTTATGTGGAATCTGTGTTTTGATATAGTCTCTTCGTATCATATTGCAGTACCTGTAAGGAATTCGTATTTTAACTGATGGTCGAAGGTATTCGAGTCTAAAATATTTATAACGTAGTCTAGTGTCGGCTTGGTAAATATGGAGCACCAATACCATTACAATGAGCATACCATTTTACCGCATAGAATAAAATCACTTGAATATATGTTTAATTATTCATTTCTTCATACTAGTTCGAAGAGGATTCTAGTCTGTCCTCTGTCTTTTTATTTGAATTAAGTCAGGATACCGATCACAATTTATCTAATATTCCTATCCCAAAGAATTTTCATTGACGTTTCTGTGCTTACATATCTACATATTTCGGGCATTTTGATAGTACAAATTCATAAAAATACAAAAAGTATGCTAGTACCAAGCTCTACCTCTAAACATTGAAATTTTATGTTTTTTTTCTAAGAGAGTTTTATGTTGAAGAGCACACAAGCTTATATTTATTAGGGCTAAAAGAATACAGTGTATGTTCCTAACATGTTATTTAAAAACAGGGGCCCGACCGGATCAGGATCAAGCTAATGATTTGTACAAATAAAATTCAGAAGATTCACACAAATTGTTAAGTAGTTATTTTCAATTGAATTGTCTAAAGATTTATCCGTTTTGCCCTGTTTTTGTCCTGTCCGTCCGTCTATATGTTTGTCTGTTTGTCCACAAAAAACTTTAACCTTGTCAATAACGTTTAATTGGTTAAAGGTACGGCTTTCATGTTTCACAGGTGTATTCCTTCTGACAAGACCTTCCGTTTGGTACCAACACATTTGACTTCTTGACCTTGGAGTTTGACCAACTTTTGTTAAAATTTACCCAACTTTAACCCTAGCCATAACTTTTGAACAGTTGTTGCTAGAGCTGTCATATTTCACATGTGTATCCATAATGACAAAACCGTTTCAAGAATGTAAATATTTTTTGCCTTTTCACCTCGACCTTTGAGTATAAACAACTTTTGAAAAACCTTAACTTTGGCAATAACTTTTGAACAGTTAGAACTAGGGTGTTCAAATTTCACAGGTATATATCTTGTGACAAGACCTTCCTTTGGATTCCAATAATTTTGACCTTTGACTTTGACCTTGGAGTTTGACCTACTTTTGAAAAACTTTTACCTTCGCCATCACTTTAGAACTGTTGGTGCTAGGCCTTTTATATTTTGCAAGTTTATTTTTATGACAAGGTCTTCCCCTGTGTACCATTAATTTTGACCCTTTAACCTCTGAGCTTGACCAACTTTTAGAAAACATTAACATTGACCTTAACTTTGAATGGTTAGTGCTTGGGTTTTCATATTAACCAGTATATTCATTGACACAAGTCCTTTCTTCGGTAACAACATTTTTTCTCTTGACCTTGGGGTTTTATTTTCAATTGAGAAACTTTTACCTTCGCCATAAGATGCCATACGGGGGCATCAGTGTTTCACAAACACATCTCGTTTATTTTTAAAATTTTAACAAATGATGACATTTAAATAAACTTCCCATTCTTACTGATACCTGATGTAGCGTTGCTCTGTTTGACACAAATGAAAACGCAAGGTAGGAATTTAATTGGTCATTTACTAATAAATAAATGACTAAAACATAGCATATTTGACAATACCAAACATAATTAAATACATAATGTAATATAAACAAAAAAAAAGCAAAATGTATGTCATCTGAAGGCAACATCGGCATTTTTTCTTCTCGAAAAGGGACCTTAAGCTACAATAAATTATAAAAATAAGCAGACTTTCAAGAAGTGTCAGGTAAGACTCTTAGTAGATGAAGAAGTTCCAGAAATTCTTGACCTCCCAGAAACAACAGGAGGCACTTGGGCCACAATGCTCACCTGAGAAACTATGGCCCTTATGTTCTTCAGCAGCAGAGTTTTCCCAATTTAAATTGCTTTGTGTAATTAAGATAAAATTATGTGGCTTCATCCTACCCACCCTACCCTACATCGGGTGTCCTGATCTGAATGAACTTGAATATGAGGATACTTCCATTTAAATATGACTAATCATGGCTTAGCTGTTTCCCAGAATAAAACCTTTCCTGAATATTCGCTTTTTTAAAATTTCATCACCCATCATTGACCAACCTTACATCCAAAGGGGTCAAGATTTTAACAAAACTGAATATGCACTACCTGAGGATGCTTCCATACAAATATGACTAATCTTGACTTTGCTGTTATTGAGAAAAAGTATTTTTATAGATTTTTCCTGTATATTCCTTTGTTAAACTTTAATTAACCATGGTGGCCCCACCCTACCCCCGGGGGTCATGAATTGAATAAACCTGATTCTACACTCCCCCCCCCCCCCCAAAAAAAAAAAAAAAAACTTTTTTCGTTAGAAAGATTTTCTAACTACCCTACCCAATATTCACTATTTCTTAATTATCTACTCTTGAGAAAGTGTGTGACCCTTCAGTTAAAAAAAAATGAATTTCTTTTATCTACGGATACTCTGTGCCAAGTTTGGTTGAAATTGGCCAAGTGGAGAAGAAGATGAAAAAGTGAAAAATTTACGACGATAACCCCGACGAGAACAACGGCAGACATTGGACGTATTTCGATCACTTGAGCCTTCGGCCCAGGGGAACAAATTCGTATCGTTTCATTGGACTTTCGAGATTTAATACTGTTTGTTATCTTCATATTTCATCCAAATGTTTATGGCCATTGTTGGTGGGTAATTATAAATTGGATGTTAAATTTCGAGAAAAAATCGATATGTTCATAATCTACATGTTCATAAAAAAAATTTGGAGGTTATGTATGCATAGATTTTTTCTGCAGCAAATTAAGAAATAATAACTGGAAATAATAAAACGTTACTGATGGAAAATTATCGTCACATTGTATTTACAAAAAGGTTGGGTTAAATTACTTTTACAGCGAGTAAATTTTGTGAAGCCCAGTGGTTAAACTGCATAAAGAAGTGATAAAACTTATCACAAAGATAATACATGTAAAATTACAATAAATTTCAAAAATAAATGCAATGAGGTTTTAAAAAGTTTTTCCCCCTAAAATTAGTGATCTTATAGACTCTAATCGACAAAATTTCTAACCCGCCAAATCCCGGCAATGCGGCACAGTTTCCAAATTTTTGTTGTAAGAAATATCATATATCTTTGTAACCAACATAAATTGTATCTGTAAATTGTAGATCTACACATTAGAATTCATGTACATCTTAAGGTCGACGAAGCATGATCCTGGTGCCTGTCAGAGAGTTTTCATTTCCTTTGAAAGGATACCAGTTTACGCCCTGACCATGTTTGTTGTTACCATACTCTCCATTTAAGTTAGACCTGTGTCCTTTGTTATACCACCAAGCTCCTTTCCATAATATAGCATGATTCGCCAAATGATACAAGTCATTATCATTGTCATATGTTGAAAACTGTGCATCGTTGTTGCAATAAAGACCTGCACATGAAATGCCGTCACCTAATGAAAAAAAGAGCAATATATATATATATATATATATATATATATATATATATATATATATATATATATATATATATATATATATATATATATATATATATATATATATATATATATATATATATAAAATAATAATAAATAAATAAATCAAAGTTTTTGATAGGAGACAGAGAATTTAAGTTCATAGTAAACGCCTTACGTTAAATTCAGCAATGATCATATTACACTATGATTTCCTTATATGTACTCAATGTCAATTGAAACACTATTATGTGAACGTTAAATAACTGTTATAATTTATTTAAAAGACACAATTTACTAGTAATATCCCTTGCTCCTTATATTAAAATGAAAAATATCGTAACTTTTATTATACCATATTCACAAGGCAATAATTATGTTCCTGGGTTTTTTTTTTTTTTGTTTTTTATTATTATTATTATTATTATTTATTTTTAAATACGAAATCTGACTTAAAATAAAATTTGCAAAAATATTTTTTTTTTCTATTGCTAGAAAAAATAAAGAAAAACGAAAGAAAAAAAAAAACCCTTTTTATAGTAATATTCGGTGTACAAATCAATTAGATTTAGTCCCTGTAAGCAATTCTTAATCTTGATGAATTAAGCCATACTTACATGATTGTATGCTAATCATCATAGGGTATACATTTAACTATCGGATTATTTTGAATACATGTATATTAACACCCTTAAATAAAAAAAAATGTTTTGGTTTCTTTAAAATATATTTTCAGAATATTTGATTCCATTTATATAAAAAAAAATGATTAATGTAGGAATTAACAATATTTGAACAATAATCGAAAACAAAACAAAACAAAAAAAGGGGGGGGAGAAAAAGGAAACAATGATTTGATGTATTTTTGAAAGAAATAGGGGGCGTTTTTTAATGTTTCCTTAGAGTTGCATATATGATGCTATAAAAGTTCACCAGAATCACATGTATATAGTTAAAAAGATTTTCATTTAAAATGAATCTTTATAAGAACAGGTTCCTTCCATTCGAAAGATGTATTAATAAATTATCCAGATTCAAAGATGAAATTGATTCCAAAATAGTATCCATAGAAAAAACAAACAAACTGGCTGTAGTTTATTAGGATAATTAGGAGGTTTGTTTAATATACAGAGAATAATACATGTTATTCTCTTTTACATATCAAGCCCAGTAGCATCCAGAGACTTCAAAATTCAGCCCATGGATATCAAGCCTTCGGGATGATAATGGTTTCTCGTGCTGGTGCACTGTGTGATATGGAAAAGGGTATGCTTAATTATATATTACACACGATCAAATCTCGTTATCTAAAACTCGATGGGACAGAGGAAAAAAATTCCAAGATATCCTAGAACTCGTTGTGTAAATGGTTACTTAAAGAATTAGTGATTGGGACTTCCAGATAACTTTGAAATTATTCATAGTATTCGAGATATCAGTGTTGGAGATACTGAAGTTCAACTGTATTGTAATAACATGCAAAAATCTGTAAATGTTTTAAGTATCTTATAATATCATAAGTTATCCATTTCTAATAAACCTTCTTACAATTTATTTTTTTTTTAAAAAGGGGGAAAAGCAATATATATTTTTTCATTCAAGGTAAAGTTATGATTCAACATATTTTATCCATTTCTGATCACCAGTAAGTTAAGGTAACATATTTTTTCGCAGAACATTGATCTGAAGGAAATTAAACATCTTTTTCTGTAAATGTACTTTTCGATTGAAAATAGAAAACTCCGACAGAAGTACCTTTTTTTCAAATTTAAGTGAATTACGAATTGCATGGAATGATTCGTACTATGTATATTCATTAATGCCATCTTTATTTGATAATCAAGTATATCACAAATGTGAATTTACTCAAGTAGAAAAGCAAAGATATGTTCCAAAGGGAATATAGGAGTTCCGAAAGAAGTGCATTACAGCTCTTCTTTGCAAAACTGAGGCATCAAAGATCCGTTTTGATTGTATACAGATCCAGCTACTGATGCAAAAACCTGTATTTTTTGCTATCTACGAGATTGACATATCGTAGATTGCTCCCAGAAACAAGGTTCTACCTGCTGTTCCGCTGTATCCAGAAACGTGTATTCTATATTTGTCTTCCTCTCCAGCTACATAGAAACTACTATACTCCGCAAAAGCAGTCTCATTTCCTTCTTCTAATTCGACACGTAGAATTGTAAAGCCATTTATTACGAGCAGATGGATGTTGTCAAGCCCTAAAAATATTTTGAAACAGTAACCTACAAGTTTACTTACAAGTTTTAATCCTAATAATATTTGATAAAGTTCTCTGTATTGATAGCTCATTTGAAATTCTTTAAATCAATCCTAGTTAGGATAAGAATATATGTATGGTTGGTACACTGTAAAATTGAACTAAAAAAGATCATAAAGGTATAGAAGTGCAAAAATACTTTCCTTTCACGGAATTTTTCCTGGATAAAGTTATCAAGATTATCACCTAATCTGGCAGTCACATTATGTATCATATAGTACTTTTACGTATTCAAATCACAGATTTGAACATTGCGAAGAAAGCTTTTGTAAATTAGATTTTTGATTGATCTTTCAAGAAATTTCTGCAAAGTTTTATTGATTTAAATGACGTTTTTGATTTGTCAGTGTGGTTTTCAAGTGCAATTATGTGCTTCTTGAATAAATACATAATTAGCCATTCATTGCACATATAACTCATTAAATTTTACCCTGATGACATCTCATCTACAAGGGTAAAGCGATCGGTTGCATGAGTTGATCTAAGCTAACAGGAAAAATGCATGCAATTGTATATTTTGTTGAAGATAACATCTCTTTACAGTGAAAGATTTTTTCCCTTGCAACAAGGAGATATAGTAACCTGCTAGTGAATGAGCAAATGAGTGAGTTAATGAGTTTGAGCGAAACGGAAGTATTAAATTTTATTTTGTCTTATATCGCTATGAGCTTGATGAATGGAACATTTTTGTCACTCTGATTGTTTTCCCTTATTTTAGAACATCAATTTCAGAAAAATTAGAATGTTTTAACCTCATCGTACTACTTAAATGTGGATACTGAGTAGGTGCAATTGGGCTTGAATTTTTTTCTTTCCACAATTCGAACCTAGTGAAAAATATTCAGGTGCCATTTTATGGAGCTTTTTGGGATGTTTAACTAATTTTAAAGGAATTCAACTGCAGATAACCTGGTACACATCAGGATTTAGAAGAAAGCAGCCACTTGTAGGCATTAATTTTCAGTACCTTTGCACTGGCAACCCTAAAATATGTTTGGGCCCACTCAGAATTAAAGTTTTAAGACGACACTGATTAAGGGGTTAGAATATATGGAGTACGACTTTAGCCCATTCTATTGTATTAAAACTTGCCTCCAATTTCCGATACGATTGTTAATATACATGTATATATATAATCTTCACAAACGCAAACGGGTCATAACACTACCTATTATACCTCTGTGAATGTTTTCTGCATAAAAGTATGACAAATAAAACTTCTATTTTTTCTAAACAGCCCCTACCGTGGAATAGTTTTTGTGCCATTTGCCCATGGTGAAATAGTCATCAAACTATTCACCGGAAGCATTCCATTTCCCTCGCTTTTCATCTCAAAACTATATGGGTTGTTGTATTGTGACGTATCTGGTTTGTGATGTAACAAAAATAAAGTCAGCTTCAGTTTAATAAAACACCTATTTACTGTCTATTCGGACAATAGCAAGTTTATCGCCCCCTCGAAAGCAACTATTTCCCTCCGCTGCGCCTCGATAAACGTGCTATTGTCCTCATAGCCAGTAAAAAGGTGAATAATATTCACCGGATTTGATATATTCACTAAAGGGTCAGAGTGATATTAGTGATACCTAACGTTGTAAACAGTGGTTGCAACGGCCGAAAAGAGCTGTGATTCTGAGCAAGAATGACGTTTAGAAAGCCTATCGCCAGATTATTGATCAAACATATTGACGGGAAATGATACTGTAACCTACGAAGGGATCTCGGAAAACGTAAGTTATAATTTGTAATCTGGATATTTTTAATCTTTCTGAGACAAATTTTTGTTTGTGAAAATAAAAGCGTCATTCAGCCTCAATGTCTTTACTATTGTAATCCGGACTATGAAATAAAAAAAAGTCATGGACTCTTCTGGTTGTGAATATATCGTTTGATATGGAGGCTTCGCCTCGGTAAAATATTTTTCTGGTGAATATCAAAAGATTTCATAATTGTATACTATTCTGATTAAGCGTAGAGTAAATCATCGGGAGTTAAAACCAAAACAAATATTAAGAGGAATTCTGTATGAAACTGCTTTATACATGTACACATACGGAGCACACAACAGGCGAGACCATTTAAAAGAGGATGTTAATACTCTATGTCACCTTATCACACCTCTGATATTTTTAGAGGTATGTGTATGTTCTGCTCCAAACTTGCACAAATGGTCTTTTGAGTTCGAATATTGCTCAGAAGCCGAGGTCAATGTTGATATTTTTTTCTGGTGAATAACAAACCCTATTCACTACCAAAAAGTCCACAATTGTTTGTTATATAGTCCGGATTTGAAAAGATAAAACGTTGAAGGCTGCATAACGATCTACCATTTACATTAACAAGCTTTTGTAGCAGATACACATCTGGCCCCGGCCGCAGAAACCATTGTTAACAACTTTGTTTGAGGATTTGATTGTGATGTCACAATTCTTCGGCACCTGCACTGACCTTATGGTAAATACGGTTTCACATCCAATGAATATATAGTGTTATGAACTGTTCGTGTTTGTAAAGATTATAAAGGAATTATTCAAAGATTATATTATAATCTTCGTTATCTTCATATGTCATTTATTTGTTTTACCGTCACGGTAGCTCAGTCAGTAGAGCGCTCGCTCCATGATCGGAATGTCGTGTGTTCGAATCAACCTAAGTCGGTAAAAGATAGGTAGCAACTGTTCCTTCGCCAAGCACTCGGCACTTTGAAGTGAAAATTGCTGGTCCTTCGAATGAGAACTTAGAAACCGAGGCCGCGTGTCATGGTAGGCGTTGGCACGATAAAGAACCCTCATTGCTCAATGGCCGTAAGTGCCGAGAAAGGTCTAAAGTTGGACGCCCTTCACCGGTATATGGTGAAGTCTCTATATGAGTGAAACATTCTTGAATGGGACGTAAAACAACATACAACCAATCATTCATTCATTCATTTTTTTTTTTTTTTTTTTTTTGATATTTGTGCATAAACACTCAACTTTACAGATTTTAAGTAAGTTCATTCTGCTTTATTGTGTTTGTCTATTCTATTTTCTATTATATAAATGTTAATTAATTTTATATGATGTCAAAGATAACATTTCCGGTATTAATTAATCGTAGGTCCCGCCTCCTTGTATGTAACTTTAGCCTTACAGATATACCTTTTCTGAAATGTTTAGCTACATGAATCAGTTCTTTGTACGCAGCAGTGTTAAGGCGTACTTGGAAGAAATCAACAGAATATAAACGTGCATAAATACATACCTTTTTAAACTGAATTATTTTTGTAAAGGTACTATATTATCACATGACTTTAAATATTAGTTGAAATAACATTGTATACTTCGCTCTGTACTGAATTTGATTTGATCACGTTATTTGACAGTCACGTGAAAAATGCATATAATGTGTACTGTATGTACAGACCCTGAAACGTGCTACTACCCCCAAAAAGCGTGTGACTTTCGTGCGCTTTTCGTTTCGTGCAAACCGTGTAGCGTTTCGTGTAAACCGTGCAGCGTTTCGTGTAAGCTCCAAAGCGTTTCGTGCAAATCGTGTAGCGAGCGTGCGAGAACCGTGTGAGAAACGTGCGACTTTCGTGTAAGAACCGTATGAGAAACGTGTAGGATTCATTCGGAAGTCTTTTTTTATTTTAAAGATGGCTATTGATGGATCAACATGTCATTCTGTGTTGTTTGTAACTAATATTATTCGGATATATCATACCGGTGGTATTTTAAGAGTGAAAAAATACGGAAACAACAAAATAAAATTACTCGGTAATGTATTACATATTTGTTTGATTTTCTTTCTTTTTTTATTTCAATAAAGATGGACAGAAAATGTGTTAAAAGTAATTAATTATATGCACATAAATTTTAAGGTATTTGATTCAATACATTTTTTTAAAGGGAGCAGTACTGAACATTTTTTAAAAGAAAATTCATTAGAAATTCGGTCTTGTCCTTTTCATTCATTTATTTGAATCTCTTCACCATTCTACAATTATGGGATGTGGGATTACAAGAACATATCGGTGATTAATACAAAATAATAGATAAATATGGCAGGCGTGAAAAATAAAATGCAAAATTTAGTGTGTTACTATAAATGTGAAGTATTGGAATTCTAGGCCGGGGAGCACAGTTAATTGATTTTCTTTATAAACGAACATAATTTTCTTATATTACAAGATTGTGATACAAATTATATTGGAACGATGAGTCATTTATAGTCTTTTTTATGCCTAAAATTGGTTGATTAATAATAGTCATATAAATGAATTATAATTCACTTGCATCGCCAAATACAGGGTTAAATATTTCTGGGAGGGGGGGGGGGGTGATCAAATGAAAATACTGAGTTTTTGTTGTAAACAAGTCTTTTATTGATGATTTTCTTTTTTTAAAATAATCTATTACTTTTTCGGGGTGCGCCCGATGCACCCCTTGAAAAATATTGTAATCTTTACACTTTCAACACTTTTCTTACGACTGTGATCAAGGTCATTTACAACAGCGATCACGGCCTCCGCGTGCCGGGACTGACAACTTGTTCTGCAGGTATCTCTTGTCAATCATAGATAAGCTGACAACCGACAATAAGGATTGATTTTTAATTTGTGAAATTAAACGGTTTTATTAGTTTTAATGGGTATAAATAAATAACCGTGGATTTTATTTCTTAAATTTATCCGATTGTCTGTAAACAGTGAATTAATTTGCCAGTGCATTGGTAAATAAAATAAATCCTGAATAACCATACATGTATATTAGTTGTTTTATTAATCACGCAGTTCTAGAGAATATTTTTTTTAGTCTTTAGGACATTGGACATGTATACATACATATTGAATGTATTGTTAAGAGCCGTGATAATTGATTACATAAATTATTGATTTTTTTTTATTATTATTATTATCATTATTATTTTGTCTAGACGCGGTTTGAAATGAAGGATTTTAAAAGGTGGTGGGTATAATATTGTTTTTATTTGATAAACCAATGCCTCAAAAGAGAACTAAATAATTACAATACTTATCCCCCGGCTTCTCTACCATATAAAATTTTAACGATTAAATAAAGTTTAACTCTGTAATGAAACGATATATTTACCATTTTGAATAAAGTGCATTTAATGAATTACATGCATCGGGTCCCGCTGGAGATATGGATATCCTTTCTGTTTTCTTAGAACTTGTTTCTATAATATTTTTCCCCCGATGGTATAGTTACTAAACCAAGTGCCCTTTATATTTAGTCATGTACAGATTTGAAGATACAACAGTAAGATCTCGGTAATCTACCACCCCCCCCCCTCCCCTTTCCTGCACAATGTTCCTGTTAGATGCAGTTTACATATTACCTTTGCAAATTATAAACAGAACCTAACTTTATCAAATGATTTATTTTTTTAATAAATCAAAAATGTATAAATCAATCAATAATTAAAAAAGGAAAAAGAACATCAATCCGTTTACAGAAATCATACGCAATTGAATCATTTTTTTTCTTCAAATCAATAACTGAGTTTATTTGTTAGTAATAAAACGACTATTTAATATCAAATTATAATTGGAAAAACATTAAATGCTGTGAAAGATTACGAATTACAAATATGATTTTTTTTTTTTTTCAGTGCGTAATTTAGAGTCTAGTGAAAAAAGGTTTCTACACAGACGATAATAAGTATTTCACCGGGCGGGTCACATACTCACTGACAACTATGTATTAATTACAACTGAACATTGAGTATTTTATCTGTTAATATAGTACTGATATAGCGAGTTTTAATCTTAAATTAATCTGAATGATTGCAATTCTTAACTAATCTTTGATTAATCCGTAATAATTGAAATAAAGTCAGAGAGATTCCGAATAGAAAATCGAGATCGAGGCCAAACCATGCGAGAATCGTGTACAAAGCGTGTGAGAAACGTGTACAAAGCGTTTCTTGCAGGCTTTTGTGTAAACCGTGCAGCCTTTCGTGCAAAGCGTTTCGTGTAAACTGTGTAGCGTTTCGTGCAAACCGTGTAGCGAGCGTGTACCGTTCGTGCAGCGTGCGAGTGGGGTAGTAGCACGTTTCAGGGTCTGTAGGTCACAAACAAATTTCAATATCGCAAGGGCATACCCTAGTTAAAATTAAAAATTTAAGTAATAAATTGTTTCTACATAACTTGTAGTTTGTGGAAAGTGTTGCTGCTTTAAATAGAATTCGCATTTTAATTGTTTAAATTTCAAGTTATCTGGCTTATGTCGAAATATCTGTGACCTCTATCAAGTATTTTATATTTTAATTAAGTAATGCTCTCGATTTCAGGAAAGCAGCAGCACTTTTTAAGCTAAGGAATATGTCCGTTATGTATATTCAAAAAATGGTCAAGATCTATTAAGTGTATGCCCTTGCGAAAAGGCGATTTAATGAGGCACCTCGGCGTGAAACATGCACACCCTGTAGACAAAGACACGGTAGAATTAATTCAATACATTCTCTCGATAGTTTTTAAATAATGACACTCAACAAACGTTTCAGATTTGTATTAATGGTCTACCTAAGATTTGCAAATGATATTCTGTTTAATAATAAAATGCATTTTTCACTGTGAAAGAATTACTTGATCCGTCTCTCACTGCACATAAAATGCGTCAAATTTTACCATGATGACGTCATGTCGACAAGTGCATTGCGATCAGTGACTTGTTTATATCTTGCTGTGTGGGACCTAACTAGCGACAAAAATGAATGCAGTGGTAAGTTTTGATGTAGTTCATTACTCTTATGCAGCTAAGAATCGCAACTTATTTCATTTTCTGTTATTGTGAGGAATTGCTATATTTGTGTGATGTCACAGTAAACTTTTCCCGTATAAATTAGGCCCCGCTCCCTTTATGCAACCTTAACAGAGCTGCGTATACTTTAAGTTTGCACACAGCAGGTCTGTTTAAAGATTTTCAAAATATTTTAATGATCGAAAAGTAATGTATTTTTGAAGTTAATATTACTCTTCCTTTCTTTTTTTTAAATTTCAGAAGACACATAAGTTAATAACTCGCATTAGTATCGTATCCTGAAGCAGAAAAAAATATTCTTGATAACCAGATATTTTTAAAAAGAAAATAAGATCACAAAAGACAAACGTTAAATTACCATTTACATTATTCAATTTGAATCTTTAAAAATCTATTGTCATTTCAACTCTAAACAATTTAAACATAAAACTTCAAATACATGTGTTTATTTCAGAGGAGCAAAATATTCTTTCTCACCGATCCAGAATTCGGAATGGAGATCACCAAACCCATTTTTGTATTCTATCCATCCTCTAAAGAAATTGAAAGAACCGTCCATTCTTCTTTGTATCATCTAAACAAAAATACATTGGTGACAAACAGTCACGACATGACAGGACAGGTTGTAATCTCTCATTTTTAAAACAAAGAAACGATTAATAAGCACAAAGGAAAAAAAAAATCCTCCTAGAATTAAAAAGCAAAGTCGTTTCTACGTTGCATCTTATTACATTAGGTATAACGAGTATGAAACTTTGAATGTTAATTTCAGGAATAAATACAAAAAATTGCAAAAAGGATTCATGATATATTAGTCATAAAACGGGCATATTTGTATTATTTTAGAACCATTATGACTATAGGTTCGAGATTAGAGAAATGGTGGTTACACCTTTACAATATTTTGAGCCAGAGATTACAAAACATAATATCCCGTCTTTAACAGATATATCACCTGACAAATTGTTATGGCCAAAAACCATCAAGTATTTCAAAAAAATGACCATAGTATAAACAATCAATTAAATCTTAATTTCCATGATAAATTGCAGAAACAAGCGCAGCTAGTTCCGCTCAAACTGCAAGCTCTTAACGCAAGGCCAGGGCGAAGGGAAAATTCGGACTGTGTACAGTGATCCAAATTAATTTTTTTCGCGTATATCTCTAGACTCACAACTCACAACTCTTTGCGGAATGCATCTCGCTATAACAACAAAAGTTTAGAAATAAAAAAAAAAGTTCTTTAATTTTAATAACTGATAAGATAAAAATACCACATTTCTATAAAAAAAATATATATTGCATTTTTAGACATTATGCATCTATCCTACGATGTAGTGTGACGTCATAATCTAGACGTTTGAAAAGTCTCATGCGGTTGAAGAGAGGGTACAAGATTAAATGAATTGATTAGACAGCTACGTAACTTTAGCACGTCAACATGTAAACGAGCGCAGCTAGCTTTAAAAGCAGCGTCTGGATGAAGAGAAAATTCGGACTGTGCACATTTATTCAAATGATTTTTTTTTTCAGCAGGGAACTCTGGACCCAAAAACCTTTGCACATTGCATCTCACCAAAAATTATGCTCTCTGTAACCTCAAACGTACATAAAAAATAAACTCTATTTCGAAAAAAAAAGAGCAATTTTCAAACTTCGATTTGGAAATGCAACTTTTATACGGCGTCATATTACATCGCAGTCTAGAGCTTCCAAAATTAAAGTGTCATCCAAAAAATACCACTATCAAGGCAATTCCTTATTTGATTCACACAATTCTGACATTAAAAAATATAACAATGAAATGCGAAGATAGCGAACAGTATTCAATTTCGAAAGTCCAATGAAACGATACAAATTTGAAGCAGAGCAAACACGGACCCAAAAACCTAGAGGTGTGATCCATTGCAATGGAGGAGTGAGCATCCCCTGCCGAACGGTCACACCCGCCGTGTGCTCCTTGTCATGGTCGGGTAATAACGGAAAAACCCGTAGACAGTTCAGTATATAAATAATGGCCTAATAATTAGTATGAAAAACGTCAGTCAGCATTTGACTCAATGATAGGTTTTATGTGCTGACAAGGTCATTGCAACGACCGTAAAACTTGCGAAAAGATGACTTCAAACGAGACTGTTGATATCCTTGTTTCATCAACTTGTTTGTCATTAGCTTGCACTGTTTTAAAAATTGTTCATACGTAGAGCATGCTCTTGCGTATCGAATCAACTGAGAGACATAAACCCCATATGCAGTTGATAAGGGTATATTGCTACATAAGTAAGGGTAGTTGACGATTGAAAAGTTGAAGTCATCACGTTTATCATAAAGCTTTGTTGTTAGGTTACCTTTAACGTCTTTTTCTAGTAAAATATCTAAATATGAAACAGATGTGTCAGAATCTGTGGTATCTTTTATTTCAAGCTCACTGGGATATATCGAGTCGACATATGAATGAGAGTAACTATTGTTAATTGATAATACGTCGTCGATATATCGAAATGTCGAGTTGAAGGCCACAGCAAGTGTTTTGTTCTTCTCATGTAGACGTTTTTGAATACATTCTGCTTCATATGAATACAAAAATGGGTCTGCTAATAATGGGGCGCAATTGGTTCCCATGGTAATTCCAACAGATTGTTGGAAGACCTGATCTCCAAATACTACATAGATATAGTCAATCAGAAACTCAAGCATCTTTATAATATCAACTTCAGTGTACTTGTGTGTACAATCAGAGTGCTTTTTAACAAAATAATTCTGTAAATGACCAATGACAAGTAAGTATATTTACGAGTTCCATTTTTATTGAAAAAGCAGCTGTCTATGATTTCAAAAAGCCTGGACTTCACTTTGTCGTGGGGAATGGTTGTATAAAGTGTTGAAAGGTCGTATGTTTTGATGCTATTGATTTTAGTAAAATTTTGTGATTTTCAATTTTCCAAAAGTTCTTTGGAATTTTTAAGTGTCCACATCTGATTTACACCACTTCTCGAATATACTGTTGTACAGTATTCATGAAGTTTCTCCTTTATTACAGTAAATATTTTAGTGAGGAGTAAAGAAAGAGGCTTGTGCTTGTAGAACATTTACTGAAACCCGCTATGTATCGTTGTTTGTAAGGATTTTTATGAATTTAGCGCATTCAATTATTACCATCCAGACATATCCTCCTGTGTTTAAGCATGTGACTGGAAAGATCCCACCATCTATATTTGCCATGTCAGTCAATTCTTCACCTTCCGAGAGCGGGACATCACCACAGTCTGAAACTTAAAATTGAAGTTAGAAAATAAATATTGGCCAAGAATAGTCTTAATCTTGACCTAAAATGCTATAAAGCATAATATATACAATACATACAAGAGCACGGCAAGTTCAACTATAAAAAAATTACAAACAAGCAAGGACAACTATCTCTAAAATGTGCTTTGATTTCTATGTCATATAAAACACCTACTAAACTGCAACTATTTCGTGCACAGTATTATACGATGTGCAAATTTACATCTTAAATGAAATCCAAAAGTGTTCTCCTTTTTTGGATCAAAAGAGTACCAAAACTGTCACCATTATAATTAAATTTTTATAAACTCCTTTCTATGTATAAAAATGCAAATGTATCACTTTTTTGCAATTAAAAAAATCTTGAGATCTAATTTAAATAGATTGATTTATTCGATAAAAAAGTCCTCTTTCCCAACAAATAAGAAAAAAAAAATATACAACCAAAATAGGAGCTACAACTCCTAAATATACATGTATATCAATATAAAAAATATGATGATACAACATCAAAGAACGACGAAAAATCATCCGTACATCATACATTTACGTGCTCTTCAGTCAGTGAATAGCAATAGTTTCAACAGAAAATGACTAAATCCTTTCAAGTTCAAAGGTGACACTGAACTTAGCTATGCAGAGTACTTTACTAAATCTCAACTTGATATTATAGAATTTGACAACCCTTCCGACCCTTTGTAAAAAATTAATAAAATTTCGCAATTAAATTCAAAAAAATAAAAAATAAAAAATAAAAAAAAATAATAATAATCCAAATAAAAGAAGTGATTTTCATGAACGTTTTCTTAATGTACATATGCCTAAATACATACCTCTGTGTTTCAGTACGATTTCTTTTTTAAAAAAATCTATACGTCATGCTTTCTTTCAAAGAAATTTAAATTGATTTTTTTTTTCTTCAAAGTTAGAGACAATAAAGTATCTTATCTTCTTCAAAGAGGGAATCAATCCCATAAAAAAATTAAGTTTCTTCGAAATACAACGGTGTAACAGTTTTAAAATCCAATATCTCATCTTCAAAGCAAAATGACAGAGAGGCGAAGAGCTAAAAAGGTAAAAAGGCAGACAAGATACATGTACGCTCGTAAAAATGGAGATTCTGCTTTAATCGTGTTTTTCTGTACATGAACAGTCAACCAGAAAAGGCAAACATTTCATTTTTGGAACTTTTCTTTCTAATCTTTATTTTGTTTGTTTGAATGTTGTTTAACGTCCCTCTCGAGAATTTTTCACTCATATGGAGACGCAACCACTTGCCGGTGGAGAGCTGCAAATTTTGTCCTATACTCGGCACTTAAGGCCATTGAGCACTGAGGGATCTTTTTCGTGCCAGCACCTACTGCAACATGGGACCTCGTTTTATACGGTCTCATCCAAAGGGCCGGTCTCCACATCCAACAGTGGGATTCGAACCCGCGGCGTAAGGATCAACTCCTAACTCCGCGACTCTAGAGCAGACGCTCTAACCACTGCGCCACGCGGGCGATTTGATGGTCTATTTTCTATTGTACAGAAATCTAACCTCATCTGGGAACAAACATACCTCTGACTGAACAAACTATATTTTTCTCTGACAAAATATTTCATTTAAATGATTATAACTATGCTAATGAAATCAGGCGAAACAACATGAGATTTCAGATATCACTTTTCTTTTACTTGTTTTCTTTGCATTTAAAAAAAAAAAAAAAAAAAAAAAAAAAAAAAAAAAAAAAAAAAAAAAAAAACACACACACACACACACACAAACTGACATTGCACTTGAACAAAGCACTGAGCTTTGCTAACTGTTATAATTACTTACTGTAACAAGTGATGTTTACGATACTCCATGAACCGTTCCATAGACATTTTACAAGACCATGATCTGTTTGATTGTATCCTTCAGCACATTCTAACACTTGACTGTCGCCGGCATAAACTGAGGTATTGGATTGGAATGTTTTGATATTTCGTGGAAGAGATAAACTTTGAGGATGACACTCTGCAACGAGCAAGATTTGTCTATAATTTTTACACAAACGTAATTAAGAATTCGAAAAGCCTTACAGAAATAAATAAATAACTAAAACAAATAATTCAAAAAAATATAATAAAATAAAGAAAACAAAAATAGAAAATAAGAAAAAAATGAAATTTAAAAAAATTTAAAAAAATAATAAATGAAACATATAAGTCTCAATTTGTGCCTTTGTAAATGGAAGGTTATCCAAAATAATAATAATAATAATAATCTGATTTTTTAAAAAATCTATTCTATTTTTGCTTTGACGAAACAACAAAATTATTATATTTGCATTTTTGATTTTGATTTATTTCTAGTTTATGATAAACAAATAAAGTCATCTTTAAAAAAATGTTTGTTTGCCCTCTCCCGACCGACTGGCTAAAAATTGACCCACTCAAATTTGTTTAACCTCCAGAAAACGACATTTTTTTTTCTTTTTATTCAAGAAATTTCTCAACCACTCAACATGAATGTTGAAACTTTTTGGGGAAAAAAAAATTCCCATTTCAATTTCCTTTTTTACGCGAGTCGGCAGAGAGCAAACATTATTTTAAAGATGGTCCGATAGAATACTCTTTGAAAGAAGAATACGTACGAGGCCTTGTACATACAATGCTGTTCGACGATACAATTCTACAGTGTCTGCTTAATTCACACGTTGAATCCTGACACTTGCCGATTAGTTCCTATGTAGGAAAATACTAAAGTTATAGAAAATTAAACCTTTCATGGGAACTACATACGAGGTTTGGTCGCCCGCGTGGCGCAGTGGTTAGAGCGTCTGCTCTAGAGTCGCGGAGTAAGGAGTTGATCCTTACGTTGCGGGTTCGAATCCCACTGTGGGACGTGGAGACCGGTCCTTCGGGTGAGACCGTATAAACCGAGGTCCCGTGTCTCAGTAGGTGCTGCCGCGAAAAAGATCCCTCAGTGCTCAATGGCCGTAAGTGCCGAATATAGGACAAAATTTGCAGCTCTCCACCGGCAAGTGGTGGCGTCTCTATATGAGTAAAAGATTCTCGAAAGGGACGTTAAACAACATACAAACAAACAAACATACGAGGTTTGTCCAGTAAAATCGTTGACAAGTCATCCAGAGTAAAAAAATGATTGATTGTACATGCATATGTCCCATTCGAGAATTTTTTACTCATTTCGAAAAGTCACTATATACCAGTGAAGACCTTCATATTTAAACCTATACTCAGGGTCATTGAGCAGCGAGGCTTCTTTATAGTGCCAACGCCCACCGTGATACGGGACCTTGGGTTTTCTTAGGTTTCTTCCGAAAGACCCATGACTTTCATTTCTAATTCCGGGCGCTTGGCGAAGGAATAGTCACAACCTATGTTAACATCTCTAGGTTTGACGCAGCGAAGTGAAAGAGAATCGAATCCGGGCCTCTCGATCTCCAGAGTAAAAAATAGTCAACACAGCTAGAGTTCTGAGCTTTTCTGTACATATGTTTTCAATACATCTACACAAAAATGTAGCAAACTTCGAATAAATATATGCTCCAAAAAAAAAAACAAAAACAAAACAAAACAAGAGGCCCATGGGCCACATCGCTCACCTGAGTAACTTTGGTCATGCTGTTCTTTACCAGATTTCCCCCCCCCCCTTTTAATATACCTGTGGCCCAATTTAGAATCTACACTACCCCAGGATGCTTCAATATAAGTTTCAGCTTTTCTGGCCCAGTGGTTCTTGAGAAGAAGATTTTTAAAGATTTTTCTTATGTATTTCAATGTAAAACTTGGATTCCCTATTGTGCCCCCCCCCCTAACCCCGGGGGTCATGATTTTAACAATTTAGAATCTACACTATCCCAGGATGCTTCCACATAAGTTTCAGCTTTTCTGGCCCAGTGGTTCTTGAGAAGAAGATTTTTTAATGACCCCACCCTATTTTTGTCTTTTCTTGATTATCTCCCCTTGTAAGGGGACTTGGCCCTTTATTTTAACAATTTACACTCCCCTTCACCCAAGGATACTTTGTACCAAGTTTGGTTAAAATTGGCCCAGTGGTTCTTGAGAAGAAGTTGAAAATGTGAAAAGTTTACAGACGGACGGACAGACGGACAGACGGACGGACAGACGGACGGACGACGGACAACGGGTGATCAGAAAAGCTCACTTGAGCTTTCAGCTCAGGTGAGCTAAAAACAAAAAAAAAAAAAAAAAAAAGGAAGGGGTTAGTTATGTATGGTATAGTTTAACCGCACACGGATGATAACGTCAAAGTATTCAAAGAACGTCACGTTTCATCTTTGCTTAAACTCTTGAACAACTCTTATTAAAATTCGGGAATTTCACTATGAACACACTTGAAAACAAGCGAGGGTCCTATCTTGTACTCTCACTACATTCTACTAAATGGACAATCTTGTTCCGAAGATCTACAGTGATAGGTCTTTCGCTATTGCTAGTTACTGTAGCCGTTAGTCAATTTGTTGTGTTTTACCCGGGGACACGATGAAAAAGGTCCCTCTCAAAAACACTAATTCTACTTGTGTACTAAATATAGAATGTTATTTTTTTCAATCTTTTCTAAACATTTACATTCTGAATATGCTTCCATTACTAAATCTACATAAAACTGAATTGATCTCTGGTGCATCGTAACGTCGTGAAACGTTGCAATTTTTTGTATGTTTTGTTTACCTCTTCCAATTTCAATTGCACGTGGAGATACGAAATTGAAAAATGAGACAAAAGCATTGATATTCTCGAGATGTGGACAAAGTAGGTGACTTAAAAATATGATTCTTTTATCCAAAATAATTTCTTTTTTTAACTAATACTCGCGTATACTCTGTGTTGATGAAACCCTGATTTTTTGGTCGTGCACCGTAAGACCATACCCTATG